CGTGTGTCTGTGTTTCCCTTCACCATTTAGCTCCAAGCTCCATCAGTATAAATATGGATCTTTTCATTTATTCGTGCCCTGCAGTGCCCATCCTTGCTGATAGTAAAAGCACGTGTGTTGACTGCTGGGTGGGTGAACGGCTGTAAGAGTGCCTCCCCTCACTGATGTACGGGCCCCGTACTGGGTGACATAACAGGATGTATATGTTATGTGTGCTGAGACAAGAGAAGGGGAAGAGAGATTTTCTGAGTTAAGAAATGGGTGGTGGGTATTGTATGAAGGGGACTGGAAGAGCGCTTCTGAAGGAACAAGGATTTAAAAGATGTTATTGAGTATAAAGACAGAAGACAAAGGAAGAGTGTGAAATAAGACACACAGAATAGACAAGGGAAAAAAGAGGGCTAATTAAGAGTAAGAGAGAGGGAGGAAGGGGAATGGAAAGGTGTGGGGCGCGCGAGAGAGGATGGGAACAAAGGTGAAGAAGGACATGGAGTGTGAGAGACAGAGGGGACGAGTGAAGGTTATGTGACCCCCACACTCGCCCAGCCTTTTCTCACCCCCTCACCTGCCTCCTGCAATCTGTGGTCTATGGAAGGTCATTTTAGTCTCATACTTCTGCTTCCATTTGCTTCCACCTTCCACTTCAGTCCATCTTCTTCTTTCTTCTTTTTTTTTTTCTTGTGTGTGGGGGAGATAATAAGGTATTTACTTATTTTTTATTTATTTATTTACTTAGATGAAGGTACTGGGAATTGAACCCAGCACCTTGTGGATGCTAAGCACATGCTCTACTACTGAGCTCTACTTTCCCAACCAGTCCATCTTCAACGTCACTGTCAGGGAGATGTTTCTAAACTCATATCTGATCCTCTTCCTCCCTCACTACAATCTTTTAATGACCATCTAGTGCCCACGGCTTAAAACTCAAATCCTCAGAAGCTCCCTCACATGCTTTGTTGACTAATTCAGGGTTGAAAAACATACTTACACGTGTGTGTGCAGCTCCCTCTCAGAATGTCAAACAGCAAACTATCAAATATAGCCTCCATCTGCCAGTTAATCAGTACCCGTGTTACCCAGGAACTGATTGCTGTTCAAGGAATTCGTAGTCTCTCACATTTGCCATATGCTTGGTTATTACTGTAGGTTTGGAAATGAAACCTGTTTCCTGAAATACCTTCTACGACCTTCTCAACCCGAAGTCCTCACACATCCCCTTCTATATCACTCCTCCATTTCTGCCATGTGAAACTAGTCCCTCATTTCTCTGAGATCCAATAATGTTTTATAAACACCTCCACAACAGGACTTTTCATGTTATTCTGTGGTCTCTCTTAACTAGATTATAAATTCAATAACTAGTAGCCCCCGGACCTACAATAGCAACTCTGATTTAGCAGTTGTTCAAGAAAAGTTTGCTAACATTGTATATTAGTTCTAATTACAGGGTCTTGTTCAATGTCAACATGTGGAGAATTTGAGGGTGCAATTCCTTATCTTTTGCTCTCAGCATTCTCCCACTAAATCTCAGGGCCGATTTTTCACTTGGTTGTTGAAAGCCTGGTTTTGCACATGCAACTCCAGGAATCTGTTTCCCACACCACGTTTCCCCTGCAATTCCTTTCTGATGCTCTGCTCACACTTTAGACTTACTACCATCAAGTCTGTGTCACTTACTCAATCTCACCACCCTCCAGCAAGTGCTTCTCAATCCTTCTTACAGCTACTCTATCTCCAGGTGAGTAAAGTCTGCTAGCCCACCCTCCTTCAGTCTAGAATGGGAGACAGACTTCAGGTCTTACATCTTCTTGGAGATCCTTTCCCTGCAGCATCAGTTTCCCAGTCACTGCTGTTACATCACATCTACAGTAATGAGTGTGACCCTAGGGGAAGAGGGAACATCCTTGGGGAAAAATGACTGGACTGGGCTCAGGAAGCAGGGCTGTGCTGATTACCTCTCGGTCTGGGGAGCAATGGGAGTTGTTAAAAAGTTTTGAATTGTATCAAAAACACATATTCTTTTAGAGCTATTCCTTAGGGGCCAAAAGGACCAAGGACAATACAATTTTATAGACCTTTGGAATGTAGGATTGTCAGGCCAAGATTCAGAAGGACAAGGGCCTCTTCAAAGGAAACAGGCTCTCTCAGAGTTTTAGAAGAACCCGTTTCCTAGACTAGTGATTCTTGCCCTTGAGACAATCACCTGGAGAGCTTGTTGAAAGACAGATTATTGTGGCCCAGCCTCAGACTTTGCCAATCAGTTGGTCCATGGTGAGGCCAAGAATTTGCATTTGTGGCAAGTTTTCAAATGATGCTGGCTCTCCTGTTCCAGGGAGCACCCTCTAAGAACCACAGACTTGCTCATCAGCCCAAAGGACTGTTCTCTTTCTTCTGCAAATCTTTGAGGCGACTGGTTTCATTTCTTTCCTTCTTCTTCTCCTCCTTCTTCTCTTTGTCCTTTTCCTTCCCCTTTTAAGCTTAATTGATCTTTACTTAGGGAAAAGTCACAGGTGGGAAAATATTTGTAGACTGTAAAGGAAACATTGTCTTGTAATTCTTGCACTTCATTTTGCCAGAACTTCCCATACTGATTCACCATTCATACCCAAGTCTATCACATCATCTATAAAATGCTAGCCTTTTTCACATGTAAATTATTACTACCTCTAACAGAAGGACTGGTACAGCAACCCTATATATTTCTAATTAAGAGGAATTGATCAACACTGGAATTAACTGACATTGTAACCTTAATGTCCTGTCAAGACTAGACAGAGCTCTCTGATCTGCATAGGATTTTAGGTAGGTCTAATTTTTTTTTACTGTAAAGGTTTATTCTTGGTAAAATAACTTGTCTGTCTCTGGCAGGTAAGAATAAAATGTGAAGATCTTCCACATACAAGAGACTGGATTTAAAAAAACAGTTATTTTTCTAAATATAGTTGCTGTACAATGTTATATAATTTACAGGTTTATATTATAGTGATTCACAACTTTTAAAGGTTAAACTCCATATATACTTGTTATAAAATATTGGCTACATTCCTTGTGTTGTACCATACACCCTTGAACTTACTTTTCACCCAATAGTTTGTACCTCCCACACCCCCACCACTATATTCCCCTTCCCCGCCCCAGTAACCACCAGTTTATTCTCTATTTCTGTGAGTCTGCTTCTTTTTTGTTACATTCACTAGTTTGTTGTATTTTTAGATTCCGCATACAAGCAGTATCATACAGTATTTGTCTTCCTCTGTCTGGCTCATTCCACTTAGCATTCATTATAAGGAATTTTGGAGCAGCCAATCCAGAGTCCTAAAATGTTGGAGCTGCTGAATCAACCAACTCTGGAATTTCCTATCACCTAGTCTTTGTAAGTGATATAATTTCCTCATTATTTAAGCCACTGTGATTCGGTGGTGCTGCTACTTGCAGCCAAAAGCATCCTTATTGATATATATATTTGAAAGAGGATCATCATTGTTTTCGAAAGAGCTCACACCCCAGGGCAGCTGTGTGTCAGATGGTGAGCATCCCATTTTAAGACGGATGTTGTCATATGAGAGTAAAGACAGGAGAGATGGCCAGGATGGCAGAATCAGGAAACTTGTCACAATGGGAACAATTGGAGGAAGGTGGATGCTGCATCTGGAGAAAAGACAAATTAGCAGGTAAGAAAAGTATCATCAGATATTTATAGGACTTTAGTGTGAAAGGAGTTGACACTCTTCTGAGGGACCACTCAGATCAGACATGACACTAAGTCCATTTTCTCTCCCCTCATTGTGGAAGCCCCACTGTGAATAGGGAGACATGTGTGAAATGGGAGTAGGCAGGTGGAAGGGGAGAAAGGATGAACTCAGAGCTGCCATGATGGCTTAGAGAGCCTATAACTTTTATTTCTTGGATGGGATGGTTGCTGGGAGGGACGATGGAACAAAAAGCTTCTGCAATATCTTCTTAACTTTGGGTCAATATTAGACATTGCCCAAGACTTTTACAAAGTGAGGCATACGTCAAAGGAGATGAGGAAATGAATATACGGTACAGAGAGAGAAATAAAAAGTGCATTCTGAAATTGACAGAGAAAGAGCAGAGTGCAAGAGAAAGTAGCAATGCCTCTCTGTATAAGAAACTGTTCAAGGTGCTGAGAGGATCTGAAGATGAACAGAGCAAGGCCCCTGCCCTCAAGGAGCCCTCATTCCAGTGCAGGAAGCCAAAGAGAAAGACAAAACCCAGGAAGTGGCAGCCTTGAACCAAATCCATACCTCAAATGTGAACATTAATAGATGTGGCCCTGCCCTCTCTGGCCTCGGTCCCCTGGCCATTCTACAGCATCCACCTCTCAGCCATACCATCCAAGTGATGCAAAGATTGTGTTAAGAAAGTAGAATGTCTTTCAGATTATCTAAGGAGTTTTGGTAGAAAAGAAAGAAATCCAAAGGGCAAATACTTAGAAAATCAGAAATATTTAGACAATGTTAAAAGTGAGGCCACTTCCAGAATATCATAATGGGGAACGAGGCAGAGGGGCAGGGAGCAGAAAAGAATGTGATTGCTCCAGAGTGAAGATGAAAGTGTTGACCATTCATCACAGATACTCATCCACAGATGAGGAACTCTCTCAAGTTTTCCCTAGTGGTTGTGGGAGACCCTGAACTTCAAAACCCACCCATTTCTCCTGCCTTCACTCGGAGACGGAGGAACCAAGCTCTTGGCCACGCTCTGCCACTCGCTGTTCATCACTGAGCAAGTCACTTCTCTCTGAGTTTTCTTATTTGTAAAACTGTTTAATGTAATAATAACATACACACTGTCATCTTCTTAAGAATGAAATAGATGTGTGAAAGTGTCTAACACAATACCTGACACAGGACTAGGTCCATAGAAATACTACCTTAATCTCAATTGCCACACTCCATTAAGGCTTTCTTCTAACTCTCACGTGGGAAAACAGAAGTTCAGAGAGATTTGTCATGGAAAGTCAATCCATTTTAAGTTCACTCCCTGCTGCAAATCACTAGGCGCTTGCTTAATCTCTTCATGGCTGCCTGCACCTCCTGGTTCCTCAGGGTGTAGATCATGGGGTTGAGCATGGGGGTCAAGACCGTGTAGCTGATGGACACAGCCTTGTCCATGGGGAAGGGAGTGAAGGGCCGGGAGTAGACATAGATACAGGGAACGAAGATCATAGACACGACGATGATGTGGGTGGTGCAGGTGGAAGCTGCCTTCCTCCTCGCCTGGCCTGAGTGGGACCTGAGCATCATCAGGATGG